CGCCTCTTCTGCGGCTTTAAAAGAAAAGAGGACAAAAATGAGGAAGCCTTTAAGTAGGGGGGTCCCGCGCGATAATGGTGAAAATAGGTTTTTGTGTCCCAGGGCTACTTGTGTTGTCTGCCGCTCAGCGTGTGCGAAATACGACACGCAGCATCTTCCGAGTGGCAACCTGCGACTCTATTCGGCGCAAAAAAAAAATTAATTTTTTTATGCAAGAGAAATGTCACCGTTAAAAGGGACCATTTCATGTGCAGTATGCTGCCCGCAGCAGTTTATGAGAATATAAAAGCGAAAATCGTAATTTTAACTTTGACTTAATAAAAGAACACAGAAATATGCTCCACATAAACGTTGATCACGTGACTGATTTGCTGCAGCATGCCGCGTATATGAAAAAGCACTTAAAAATTGTAGGAACATCGTTTACGGATGGAGACCCCTGGAAGTCGACCCCTTTTCCGCTAAAATGTAGCATGTGACATCTGCTTCACCCCCACCTCTTTCTCTGGGTCCCCGTATCACGTGGTCATCTGACAGGTATACGCATCAGCTGATGCACACGCGCGCGGGTGAACCTTATTGACTGACTGACTGACTGACTGACTGACTGCCTGCCTGCCTGCCTGCCTGCCTGCCTGCCTGACTGCCTGCCTGCCTGCTTGCTCGTCTCCCTTGGGCGATATACTGTCGCTCGACACGAACGATAGAGCTGACCATTATCCATCATCGAGTCCATCGTGCGTTGCGAGGCTCTCCCTTTAACAATCCTTAAATTGAACGAGTTTCTTTTTTGGAAGCAAGACACGCGTAACATGCGCGACGGTGGCATAACGTTTTCGTTCTTTAATGAAAGGTGGGGTTTTCTTTTCACATTCATAATACAATCTCGTTCTATGTAACGGCTTTTAATTGATTACGATAAGAATCGAAAGTTGGAAGAAACGGTAACCGGCCCAATCGAAGCGTGGATTAATAAAACAGGAGGCCAACATCGTTTCGCATTAAGAATGGCCCGTGAAAGCGTGACTTTTGTTCGCATTACGACGAACGAGGAAGGAACGGAGCGGCAGGCACATTCACAAAGGCAGGTCTTCGGTTCCACTTTCGAGTGATAATATTATTTTTCAAACGTGTTTTCTCACTCTTCGGAGAATTTCGACACGACTAGTGAGTAATCCCATTGTATCCCGAACAGAGAGAGACAGCTCTTCTCCATCTTTCTCTCCAAGATGATACTCTGTGTACTCGGGTCCGCCGATTTATACCTTTACGCTTGATCCTCTCTTTCGACCTTCAGGGATCGTTTTACAAATCCCGGCGCGTGTATATGTGTCCGTCGTCTATTTTTGCCCGCGTCCTCGCTCGTTCCTGGAGGTTCCGATCGAGTAAAATTTTCGCGACCCGCCTGTCGAAAAGGGAAGAAATCCACGATCCATCGTTTTCCCCCGGATGATTAATACGTGCGCGGCGAGATTGGAGCTTATACGTCTTGTTGGTACGTGAAGAAACGCGAGTCGACGGAGAACGAGAGAGAGAGAGAAGGAGAAGGCGAGTGAATGAGAAGAGAGGAACGACGGCAAATATTTGTGTGTGTGCATGTGCGTGCGCGAGAGAAAGAGAGAGGGAGATAAGTTGAAAGAGGAGCACACGCGGACCCGAGAAGAGGAACGGGCCAGCCGGGGAGGTGAAGCAGGGAAAAGAGAGGCGAGAGAAGGTGGAGGTATGCTGCGCAGCCGTGGGAACCGACTGCCGCGCTAGCGAACCTCTCTCGCTTCTCGTTCTATCAGCCGCGCCTGCCGGCCTCTCGTTCTATCGCAACCTCCTTCTTCTCTCTCGTCGAGGATCTTTCGTCGCGATTCTTCTTCTTTCCTCTTCGCGCGAGGATCGGCCGCCGAACGAACAACAGCGGTTTCTTTCCTTCATCTCCGCTCTCTGCCTTGATTGTCTTTATCGTCCTGTGGATTTCTATCCCTCCTTCCAACGCCTGAGTAATCGCCGCACAAACGTACATGTACGTACATATATATATACGCGCGCGCACACGCAGAAGTCGAGGGCGCATTGTTCCCGGCGGAGAACCGCGCCTTTTTTCGACCGCGATTCCTCGCCGATTTCATTCCGATCCCCCGTAATAAATTAGCGGACGATCACGGTGGCATTTGTCTTCCCGGCGATTTATTCTCCTCCCGCTCTCTTTTTCTCCCTTTTATTCCTGATTTGTCGCTCCGCTATGAAAGAGAGAGAGAGAGAGCTCTTTTTCTCTCCTTTTCGGAAGAGGTACGAGAAAAGAACATCTCTAAGCCGCCTCCGGAGAGAACGCGTCCTTGCCGCGAGAGCAGAAGACGGGTGTATAGCTCTATCTTTCTCTCTCGTCTCGCTTCCGTCTACGCCTACTACGGCTATATACACGCTCTACCCCTTTTGTGTTCGCCCTTCTCGGCGTGCACGATCCGAGAGGACCGGTCTCTCGGCCGCACACATTCGGTGTCTCGTCGCAAAAGGTGCACCACAACCTGCGCCTCTGTAGCTCTCTTCTTCGCCTTCTCTCCTTCGCTTCTTTTAACAGAGACAAATTGCTCGCGCGTCCTTCAACCCTTTCGCCGCGAAGGGCATCTGCCTTATCTGTACTATACGTTCGCGTATACCAATACCGTTCGGCTAATTTTAGCTAGAAATACGGGTGTTGTTCTCGCTAGTGCTTCAACGCATTTTACGCGTCTGTTTTCGCGCGAATTAATCGACCGAGGAAATTCGATCGAAACGTAGCGTGTCTGCTCGCTGGGAAACACTTGACATTTTCAGAAATTTATTTTTTATCTTCCGCTCTCGTGTTACACGACTATGCAGCGAATGATCATCGTTATAATCCATTTCATTTTTTTGTTTGACTGCATGTTCATAAGAAACATAAAATTAAGAAACTTATTCAAAAATTTTGAAGGAAAATACATTCATGAAATTTTAATGCATGTTATTTTCGTATCAAATAAATGTATATTCAGACTTAATTTATTTCGAAATTTATATAATTTTCCGCGTGTTATTTTTTACGGGTCTATGATGTTTTATTAGTTTTTTCTTTCCTTTACATTCCTTGATCATTTATTTCGTCCTCGAGAGAGATTGCGCATTACGCCGAATGAAAGCTCTCGGGGGAGAGCGTAATGCGGCGTCTGCATAAATTTCCATGTGCGAAATGGCATTCGCGCGGGATTACCGGGGACTCGTTTACAGGAACTCGGGCACACACACACATACACATAGGGAAATTGCGGACTCGCCCACCGTCGCCGGATATAAACATTTATTATTCTCCGCGCGACGACGACGACGACGACGACGACTCTAACGAGGTCGCGCCATAATACACCGTCGAGCTGGCCCGGGGTCGCTCTCTTTTCATGCATGTTCGTGCTGTGACGTTAATAATTAAACGACGCATTATCATTACTGTATACCGCACCCGGATAGGGGATAGGACGCGTCACCTCACTGTTACACAACAACGGACACACACGTCCTGACCGAAGTCACCGATGTGCGGTTTGTCGGCGCGACCAGAGTTTCGTTATGGGATTTACGACCAGTCGTTTCAGATATCTTTATCGAGAGGATGGTATTTTTCGACCTGCAGGTTACGTTGCGGCGAAAGAGAGCCATGTGCGTACACGAGCTCCATTTCCTTTCTCGTTCTGGGATTTCTGTGTTTAACTTGCTTCTGTTGCTTGCGAGGATATTACTTTGTCATAATGAGAAGAGCTAAGGATCCCCGTCGACCGAGTCGTTTTGTTTTTCTGACACCTCCAATTCTTTCTTCTTTAGATCAAGTGTTTGAGGGTTTTTGACACGGAGTCGAAAGCAGGGTCAAAACAAAGAACACACGCTGGGATGCCTTTAAACACAGACAACTGACTTATTGTCAGCCGAAACTCACCCTCAGCTATTATATAGTATAATTGATTATTGTCTGTCGGTTAATTTACACGTGCGAATAACGTGTCTCGCACGTGCGTGCGTGCGTGCCTTAAACGCGACGCTTGATTTACGAACGGCGGTATATCACATGGTTAGTGGAAGTTAGTTAACCCCCGTGAGGTACCGAGGCTTCCCTCCTGCGCCCCTGAACGATAATATACTCGAGGGGGTAATTTTCGCGCGTGTGCCTAGGTCCCCTTCTCTCTTCCGCCCTTTTACCTGCGTAATCGGTTCTCCTCGATGTACTCGATGACGATGGTAATGATGAGGATTCTGATGATTTTAATAATGATGATTCTGATGACTTTAATGATGATTCTGATGATTCTGATGATTTTAATGATGACGATTCTGATGATTTTAATGATGATGATTCTGATGATTTTAATGATGATGATTCTGATGATTTTAATGATGATGATTCTGATGACGATGACGATGACGACGACGACGATGATGATGATGATGGTGATGGTGATGGTGCACGCCTCGCGTTTACGTCGTCGTTCTCTGCCGGCGGGCACACGCGTGGCGAACGCACGCGTGGCAGGTGCGCACGTGACGCAGCACGTCCCCGCGTGCGAAACATTTAATTTATCATTAAACCCTTTCACCGCGGAAATATTTCCTCCGACCGTTGTTACCGTTACCTTTCGAAAGTGTATACGCGCGAGTCACGGTCGAGAAAAGTTCGAAAATATCTCGCGGCTTTTTAATTATCAGGATGTGAAGAGAAGAAGCCCTCAATCTCATATTCCCGATAAAATTCTGTTAATAAAATGTCACACATTGCAATATGTGTTTTTGTATCCCAATTCTTCGTATTAGATGACACATGAAATTATAAATAGAATTTTGTCCTGAATTCTATTCACGAATCATGAATCATCTCAAACGAATACTTGATTGCAAGATATTAAATATATGATATAAATATATATAAAAAATATCGGAAACCTGTCATTAATTGTTTTTGTTGTTTCCAAGTCAAAGACTCACGACAGCTTTCTTTTTTCTGCTTACAGGGTACATTCTCGCTGATAGTGGAGGCTTATCACGACGCGGACAACAGCACGCACCAGTCGGCCGGTGAGCATGCAATCTTTTTCCTCTCTACCTTTTTTTTTTTTTTAGATCGCATATCGTTGCGTCGGGCCACGAGTGCGTGCATGCGTGCGTGCGCGCGCGCACGCGCTCGTAAAAAGTCAAGATGACGAAGGATTATCGTAAAATTAGTCGCGGTGGCGTTGCGCGTGTTTTAAAGCCGTGAGAGAAGGCAGAGGAAGGTCGGTCCTGCCGGTTGGGCATGTGTGGTCCAGCTGGTTCGTTGAGAGAGCGACACGGTGTGTCTCGTGGAGACCAGTCAAGAAGGCGCTTCCGGTCCCTCCTGGGCCATGACACTCACCAGAGACGTTGCATCCTCCGGCCATTCTCTCTTCCTCATCCTTCCTTCGTCAACTACCTCTTGATCCTCATCCCTTTTAAAATCTCCTCTCGAAACGAGAATCGGAGAAGGAAAGAGGAAGACTGATCCGATACATTTCTCTCTTTTCGATTAAAACTTTTTTTTAATTATGTTATAATTTTAATATTTCGGTTTTTTTCTGGATTTATGTTTGCTTGACAAATAATTTACCTCGAGAAATATATACAAGGAGAGCTTTTTCTTTTAGATTTTGAGAGTTTTATAAGAATTTTATATAAGAGTTTTTCTCTGATTAATATTTATTACATAAAAAAATATTATAAACATACGTGAAATTAATCGAACATATTTTATATATCTTATTGCGATAGATATTAATAAAACATTTTTCCAAAGCCATTATAGATCTTCTCTCTGTGTACGAAAGAGATATAAAAATAAAATAAAAGTCAGATTTGCACCGGAGTTTTTTCGTATACATTTCGTCGCGATATATATCTAAAGACACATTTTCTCGAGTTGACGACGTTACTTGGGATATTTCGTAAAGCAAAACGTGGATCGGGGTGTAAAATCTTAAGCTGGTCGTTGCTCCGCGAACAATCGTCGCGTTTTCATTGTTCTATTCGGCCTCTATGCTGTTGGCCGTTCCTCGTTTGTAACCGCGTTATTACGGCAACGCGCGTCTCTTGACGTTGTGTCATAGCGTTGTGCCGTCGACCAGAAGCGGTTCTAGAACGCGCGTTGCGGAGAGAGATAAAAAGAGAGAGGAGAAAGCGAGAGCAAGACGAGAGAAGAGAGACGCGGCGGCGGCGGCACACTAGTGTTTCCTTCCTGTGTAACCGTAGTACACCCATCTTCTATCGCACTGTAGTAACTCGACACCGAGTATATACGGGCGCATCCAACGAGGCTAGCTTAACCTACCGCCAATTGTGTTCTCGGACTTTTAGTACGCTGGATATTTTTTCAATAAAAAAAAAAAAGGGAGTAGATAGAGTATATAAAAATGTCTATTAATTTTTTTTTATCTGTATCAGTTTTTTTTTTTTTATCTGTATACCAATATTTGAAGAGAAGCGTGAAAATTTGGGAAAACGTGATCAGAATTTAATTCGATAGTGTAATCTTTATCTACCCCAATCTTGGATGACAGATAAAATAATGACGGCACAGGGGAAGCAACCTCGTCGGAGGCGGATATACGATGTTATAATAAATGCGCGTTACGGTTTTCCGTACGCGCTCGCGCGCAGATAGCGCATACGCATCCGCCTCGCGTTTGCTGTTCACTCTCGAGACCGGCTTTAAAAACGGGGTAAGAAGAGCGAGACAATTCCTACCTCGAGGAGTCTCGCCGCGGGCTCCTTGCCCCTTCTTCCCTACCCCCTTTGAATAATTAGAATCGGCCGACGGGAGAGAGCGGAAGCTGCATATACGCGCGCTCTCATGCGTGTCACGCATACGCACGCGTACACGCATGTACGTGTCACCTAGCCCGTCGCCGTCGCCTATGACTCCAATTAACCGAATTTAACTGTTTCGGCGCCACGTGCATACTTTGCCTAATCCCGCGTTATCCGTCCACTCGACGACGACGAATTTCGATAAGATTAACGAAGACCGCGGGAAAACTTGGGAAATCTTGCCTTTTGAGGAACGTACGCGTTTTTTATGTCGTTAATCAAATTGACATGAGAATTTTTAATGCACGGAAAGAATTTTTTCTCTTAGAACTTATTGTCCCGAAAATTATGGTAATCGTGCGGCAATATGGTATTGAAAGGATTTTGTAAGAAATCTGATTAATATTTTTTATTGGGCTAAATATTAATCGGATCTCTTATAAAATTTATTAATATTAAATAATAATTTTTAATACGAATATTAAAGTATATTATATATAAAGTAATATTATACACGGAAAGAATTTTCTTTTAGAATTTACCCTGAAAATCATGGTAATTGTGGGACAATATGATATCGGAAAAATTTTAAAAGGATTTCTCTGATAAATATTTATCAGTAAAAAATATTAATATGTACACATGTAATTTTTATACTTTAGAGAAATTTACTTAAAATTCTTTCAATGCCATATTGTCCCACGATTACCATGATTTTCAGGGTAAATTCTAAGAAAAAATTCTCTCTGTGTATACCTATATAATATCAAGATGATATTTATTATCGTGAAGTAATATGTAGTTAAATAATCAAAAATATATGATCCATTTAGTCAAGATACATGAAGATGCTTTTTATCACGAAGGTAAAAGCTAATCTGTTCGCGCGTGCGCTTTTCTACACAGAGTGGATGCATTTTATCCTCCCCCATTAGAGGGATAAGAAAACGATAAGTTTTCGCCGTCTGATGTTTCCCGGTGTTAACGCTCGCGTTACAACGGGGACGAGTGTTGTCTTCTTGGCCTCTGGATTTTATCGTCGACATGCTGCTTTTATCGTTGCAGCCTGCTGTCTCGATTCGTCTGCGATTCTTTTTCTAGCGCGCGGATGTTGATATGAAATATCATCTTTAACGCGTATCGAAATCTGTCGCCTCCCAAAATCTGTTTCGTCCCGTTCGCATCACGAGATTACGAATGTCATCGCGACCGAAAAAAATAATTATTTATATATCAATTGGTAAATTATTTCATCTAAATTCGAAGAAAAATATTAATCACTATTATATGAAGATTTCTCATCCAATAACCGCGAAACAAAATGATATTTTTCACGATTAAAAGATTTCGATTTAATTTACTTATATCAGATGTCTTCTAAAATTTTACAATAAATTTTATAAGCGACCTGATTAATTACGATTATATTTACTTGTATGATTTACTTATATCAATTGGTAAATCATTTCATCCAAATTCGAAGAAAAATATTAATTACTATTATGAAGAGATTTCTCGTCCAATAACCGCGAAACAAAACGATATTTTTCACGATTAAAAGATTTCGATTTAATTTACTTATATCAGATGTCTTCTAAAATTTTACAATAAATTTTATAAGCGACCTGATTAATTACGATTATATTTACTTGTATGATTTACTTATATCAATTGATAAATCATTTCATCCAAATTCGACAAAAATATTAATTACCATTATATGAAGATTTCTCATTCAATATACATATAACAAAATGCTACTATTTTTCCACGATGAATTATTTCGATTTAATTCCTAATACGAATCGGCCGATCGAATAGTCGAAGGCGCGTGAGAGAAAAATTTGGTCGCTCGAGACATTAATTTGGAGCGTGAAACGTTAAACGTACATATATCTCGCGCTAATATCCGTCGTGTCCCGGATACGCACCTTATCCCCGGGGGCCCTTATCGCGGATACATCCGCGCTCGCACATTGTGTGCTCCGTGCTGGCTCCGGGCGCGATATAATACCTACACAGCGAAACGAGCCCTTTATTGCCGCGTTGCTCGGATGCTGCTTCCTTTCTCAGGCGAACACACCATCATCATCGTCGTACACACACATCTCTTCCTTCTCTCTTCTCTTCTAAACCACCGCCCCCGACGTTCTGTTTCTCGTCTCCTTCCCTTTCGGGTCTCCTCGTTTTTTGTTTTTTTGTTTTTTTCGCCGTCCCATAAACTGCGTCGCGTTGCATTACGTTGCGTATTATATATATAATATACATACGTGTTACGACGTGCCGGTGCACGCGTCGACTCGTTGCACCTGCACTCCGGAGATCGCAGTTGCCGCATTCCCGCGGTTGCATTCACTCTCCGCGTGTCGCGAAAAATTTCGTGGGAATTCGCTCGCGTCGCCCGACATTCCGCCTCAAGGACGGCGATGATCCCAATTCGCAGCGGATGAGAGAGAGAGAGATCTTTCATCGAGGGAGAGGACTATTTTTTCCTCGCATTTAGATTCGTTTTAATTACCGCATCGCGATCTACATTTCTTCGCGGGATGAGGTTTTTCGAGTAAAAATACGAGGGACTTGAAATAAATATATCGAACGGTTTTAAAGAGTCTCTCTCTCTTTTTATTCCCCTCCTTCCCGGTCTAATTTTATTCCAGCACGATGCGACGTTATTTATAAATCGCAGGAGAAGGTGTCGCGCGCCCGAACGATTACACGTGTCGATAAAGGCTCATCGATCGATTCGTCACATGCGTTCGTGGTGTTTATTTATTATACGCGAACCAATTTCCTTTGTCGCTAATGACGACGGTTCTCTCTTTCTCTCCGTGCTCGATTGTTGCTCGTTGTTTTGGTATAAAGGATCATCGCGCGATCGGATTACTCTACTCTTCCTTTCCTTCATTCATCTGCCATAGCATCAGCGAGGAAAAGGAGGATGAGAGAGAGAGAGAGTCTCTTTCTCTCTCTTGGTCTCGTTTGTACGTTCGTTCATTCGCGGTGAATCAACAAGCGTTGTTACGCGAGGTGTATGCCTTGTGGGATATATAACGCGCGTGGTAAAGTATACATTAAATTCGAGATCGCGATACATCCGAGCTACTATGCCTCATTTTAACGCGTTTCTACGATTCGTAACACTCGTTAACTTACGAGTGGACGCTCCGAGGTGCATATCTTTATAAGGGTTTGTATGCATGTTCGTTTGGAAATACGCCTCTCGCGGGAAAAATCTCGTAGGAGATTGCTACCATTTTATCTCGCGAGAAACTTTCTCATTTTTATTATCCTTGCATAAGTGCTCTTTTGAAGATTAATTGCGCGATATAACAGGGCCTCATTTGATCTCTCTGTATTAAAATAATAATAATAAACAACTCTCTACCGCATGAATTTGAAGGGAAAAATACTTTAAAGAAATCGTCATTATAATTTCGAATGAAAAAAATCCTTTTTCCAGAGTATCTCCAAATTAAACAAGTATAGAAATATCTTGTTCCGGGATGCATCCGGACTTGACGCGACCTGTCTGCTATTAATTTCCACGTGATACGCGCTGCGTACATACACATCGGAGACGCATACGCGGGCGAAAGGAACAAGCGGTCGTGACACTCCAACACGCGCGGCTTACGTCACCGACCGATTGTCAACTTGTCGCTTTTCCCCGGCCGGTCTTTCTCCGTGCTTCTCTCTCTCTCTCTCACTCCCTCGCAAACGGGACACCGCACCGTTGCGTTGCGCGACTCGCTCGCTGCACATCGCCCGATGCACTCGGGAGAGCGCACCTGCCTCCTTTCGCATGATAATAACGGCGGCGATAATTGGCCGCCTTCTCTCCGCGCGTACGTTCCACGTGTCAATCGGCGGGAGAGAGAAAAATCGTTTTACCTCGCGCGATTAGGGTGCATTAAAAACCAGTGATCCAGATATTTTTTTGTCAATCTTGTAAAATTATCGATGTTGAAACCGTTGAAATTAATTGATTTCGTTTAATCAAAATATACGAGTTTAAAGAAAAATGAGATGGATTGTCCTTTTAATTTATTTTTAAGGTTAAATAAATAATTGAATTTAATTATAATATTATCATTATTACTGCTAATTTAAGAACAATTGAGCGAATAAGCATTACGTATTTTATTACACAGAGAGTTTTCTCTTAGAATTTACCCTGAAAAAATCATGGTAATCGTGGGATAATATGATATTGGAAGAATTTTATGAGTTTCTCTGATTAATATTTACATCATAATAAAAATGTGTTAACATCTACCAAATATAAAAAAAAAATTCTTTCCATGTAGAATTAAGATACACGAACTTATATATCTCTTTATATTATTTGAGATCGAATTGATCTTTATTGTAAAATATGAGTTTACAGATAAAAGAATCTGCGTTAGAAACACGTTTAGAAAAAAAAAAAAAAAACATTTCCCCGTTTGAGATGCCTAAAGGCGGTTCCGTTGGCGTTTCGGAAGTTGATCCATCGCGCGTTCTCTGGATTTTACGATCCATTTCGCTAAATAATCAACACGTCGTTTTTTTTTCCGCGCAGAAAACAGCGGTGGAAGCCGCCGCTGGCTATATGCCAGCTCTCTCTCTCACTCTTTTTTCATTTCTTTACGGACTATCCTTGTTCGGCAGCCGCTCGTTTCTGAATGAACGAACAATAGAAAATGTCTGCTACGCGCCGGCGCTGCTATGCGTCGTTAATGAATACCTTGAATCGGTCTGGCCTCGAGCACGCCGGGTGTTTACCGGGTGTGTATATATCGTGGTCAAGTAGAAACAACCGATCTCGCTCGTGGTAGCCAACGGTCCGGTCGCGGGAAACGGCGGCAGGAAGTTGTAACTTCGTTCAATACACGCATACACACACAAATATGCACACCGGTAATCGCAACCACCTTCCAGGCGAATATAAATGCCAATCAATCTTCTTTTTCCCGGCGTCTCGCTGCGAATATCATTAAACCTCACTTTCTCTATCGCACGCATCGTGCACAAGTCTCTCACGTTCGTCAAAAAAATACAGTGCAGTTTTTTTTTAACTAACATTTTTACAGGCTTCTCTTTTCCAAATTATTTAGGCTTTTTTTATAAAATAGATCTATGTACTATAACATTTTTTTTTTTTTTATTAAAAAAAGTAATCACCAACGTTGTCAGTGATATTGTTAGATATTTGTTATAGTTTCTGACATCTTTTTTTAATAAATAAAAAAATGTTGAATGTGCATATACAAAGCCTGTATTCGATCATCTCTCTATCTCGTTCGGGATCGAACATATATATAGCCCTGCTTATCCCGTAGCGTGCGAAGATCGGCGTTTTCGGAACTCGTAACAGCATCACCTGGGAAGATAGCCTGGTAAACTGCCACCTCTCCCATCCCATGTGCATATACATATACGTGTCTGTGTATCTCGCTCTCCTTCTCTCTCTGCTCGACTCCCGACAGCGAAACTTCCCTTCTGAGAAGAGAGAGGCTGGTCTGGCTCCCTTCTTAAGTATCCTCGGGCACGCCATCGGCAAAAACTTTCGTCCTTTTTTTTTCTTCCTCCCTCCGCTCGTTCATTCTTGTCGACGCGCGAGATACAAAGAAAGAGTGAAAGAGCTCGCGCACAATGACGTGTAATCGAAGGGGGCCCATCTCATTGTCAGTAAGTCGCGTTATCAGGTGACAACGGCATCATCAGTGTCGTCGGACACATCCTTCTCTCGGATCATTTTTCTCGATCATGTTCACGGCGCACGAAAATCAGAGTGACAAGCGACGATGTTTCAATTAAGATCTTAATAACCATATATTCAATATCAAAAATTGTGCTTTATGAGACCCTTCTATGGACAAGCTCGACGATAAATTTAATAAAAATTCCTTCGTCATATATATCGGTGAAATAGATTTTATTGGTGCTTCGATCGCGCGTCGCGCAATAATTCGAAGAATACTGGCCATAATTCTATTTTTTACGGATGCATGGAAGGTTTATGAACGGTCGTATAACGTTCGAGTGAGTTTTATCGCCCAGTCTTTATTCGTCTCATCTAGATGACTTTCGAGCGTGATTTTCTCATCAGCACGTGAAGGTCGATCTTTCGTTGAAGCGGCTACGCCACTGACCTTTGCTGCACGCGATAGACCCTGGGTACGCTACCAGTTCCTCTCTTTCTCTCTCTCTCTGGGTCCAGTTCGTGGACGCGCGTGCACCGAAAACCGGTGCCGTGAGATGCAGGTTTTTCGGTAGGGCACCTGATCGCGTAGTAGCTCGGACCGGAGTAGAGGATCCTAATCTGCCGGGGGTTATTACGATAATGCGCCCTTATAAGGAAGGCCTCTTCTCTCTTTCTCGTAGCCTCCGCTCGTTCAGTTTACACGAAAGCGAGTAGAGACAACACCGGACGAGAGAGGACGAGCCGCAGGCGAAGACGAGGACAGGCAGAAGGAGAGAGAGGAAAGAAGGACGCCTCTTTCCCAGAGCCGCAACGTGGTATACGCTTACTCTCTTTGTGCCGGATGCGTGCCGCCAACAGAGTAGCAATAGCGGACGAACGTCCGGTCTGCCCTCTCTCTCTTTCTCTCTCTCGGAGGGCCGATGCACTTCGATCGCATCATTGGATGCACCTCGTTGCTCTGTCTGACGAATTATTCTCGCGAGTATATATTTTTTTATTAATATAATAAATGTGTTTTTGTATCTATATAGAGGCTGTTTCGTGTAGGATACCTATATACCTGGTAACAGTAAATTTCCTGTGAAAAGTGCTTCGTTTTGGAGAATACAATAATGTCAATCTGTATTCTACTCATATGAGAACCTGTGTGTTATCTATATGTGTTATCGTTACTTTTGCATTATTTATAAACATTTATATAAGAAAATTTGAAAAATCGCTGAAACGAGAAATGATCTTTCCAGAGAAAGTGCTGATCACGCGGCTGACCACCCAGAAATGGCTTGACGTCGGGCCGGAGTGGACCGTGGACGAGCACAAAAGTGCCCACTCACAGATGGAATACGAGTACAGGGTGACGTGCACGGCGCACTATTACGGCAAGGGCTGCGAGAATCTGTGCCGACCTAGGGACGACAACTTCGGCCACTACAGTTGCAGTCCGAGCGGAGAGCGCGTCTGTGTGTCCGGTTGGAAGGGCGACTACTGCAACGAAGGTAAGTCCGACCGGCATATTATATATATAATATCGCCTTCGACCATTGCAATTACTCGAATGGTTACCCGCGATATTCATTCATCTTGCGTCTCCCTTCACGACTGCACGCGCGTCTGACAGCTCGAGCTCTTCTCTCGAGAGTTCCAATTTTTATCAAATTTATATTAAATCTTATAAATTATAAATCTAAATATATATTAATTAAATTACTCGGAAAAAGTCCAACTACATAATTACAATTTAATCCTAATTAAAAAAAGCCGTCCAATAAGTTGATTAATCATGCTCGATCCCTTCTCTCGAGAGTTCCAATTTTTATCAAATTTATATTCAATCTTATAAATTATAAATTTAAATATATTAATTAAATCACTCGGAAAAAGTCCAAGTACATAATTACAATATAATCCTAATTTAAAAAACCATCCAACAAGTTGTTGATTAATCATGCACGACTGAATGATATGATTGATGGGATGATTTTTGGATTTCGTCAATTTTGACAGTTGGCGCGACTATTAGACAGACAGCTGATTCCATCGTACTCTCGCGCGAACGTTCTCCATATTCTCGCGCTCCGTTTCAAAGCCCGGCCGAAGGAGAGGCCCGGTGCAGCGCGGGCTTCCCACGCTTAAGCTCGCGCGTGTGCGACTATCTCCTTCTCTCTCTCCGTCTTTCGTCTCTTCTCGAGCTCTCTTGGCCTCCTCTTGTCCGCGCGACCCGACTGCTGCTGCAGCAGCAGCATCCCTCTCTCTCTCTCTCTCTCTCTCTCTTCTCTCTCTCTCTCTCCTCCTTCTTTCTCTCCCGTATACCTGCGTGCCGACCGAGAACTAACTAATCTGTGTGCACGTGTAATGATCCGCGAGACTGTGTGTTGAGCGAAGGAGGCGAGAGGAGGCGAAATCTGCCTTCGTGTGTGGCAGTCTCTCTCTTCATCTTTCTTCTTTCTCTTTCGTCCTCGTTCGCTCCGAAGACTGCGCGAGTCGAACGGGGATGGCTAGAGTCGGACAGTCGTCGATGCCAAAGTTCCCGGTTTCTCTCTCTCTTTCTCTCTCTCTCTCTCTCTCTCTCTCTCTCTCGATACGTACAGGTATGTCCGCACCTGGTGTTTGACCGCGTACCTGTTCACGTACAAAGGTGGTTTTCACTCGCGGAGGAAACGATTTCGTTACCCGCCCTTTTGATTCGGGGAACTCGAGACCCGGGTCAGATTGTCCCGAATTGTCCTCGTGACAATAGGCAAACCGCGTTACAGTTGTTGTTCGAATACTTTCACGACGTAGAAGACAGATTCGGGAAATTGCAAAACCGCTTTCTTACAATATGTATCATTCTTTTCGTTCCACGAGAAATCGGTGAAGAAAGAACGCGAAAAACTGGAATTTACAAAAGTCAAATTACGGTGCCACTAACTTATACATAAAATTATTGACTATACATGTCATTGAATTCTCGTTCTAATTTATTTCCAAGTAGTTATAATTTGTGAAATTTAAGTCCTCATTAAAATATGAAATCACATTTTGTATTACTGAAACTTTATTGTGTTAGAAATATTTATTGTATTTATCGTGGTGTTACATCTAATCACTTTTTATAAGACGAACTAAAATTAAGACGAAAAAAAGAATTATATTTAATATACTTATATATACAAAAAACGTGAATGATAGTTTCCTATTTTACAAACACTCGATCTCGCTTATGTTGACCAATAATTATCGTATTGTTGATGCTTTTATTTAAACGTTCGTTGTCAATCAAGCTTTCCCATTTCATATTCTTATATTTGAAGTACAAAAGGCTAAAAAAACATTTAATTTCTTTCTAAAAGCAAATGCTATTCTTAGGCAAAGAAAGAAATAAACGGAAATGCGATAATCTGAAATGAAAGATTTCGTTTTTAAAGGAGCACTTTGATCTTACTTAATCTCGTTTAAGCTCATTGATGTACGATCATTGAATTACCGTTTTCATTTAAGCCTCCGCAAATGAGTTATTTTTTCTTTTCATATTTTTATCTTCAAAATGCAATAAGAATTCGTTTAACCACTTTCGAAAAACAACCAAAATCATTTTTTGTGACTGTTTCCGATCGTTATTGTTCACGAATACTTTTTTTAATGTGACAGGCAATATGCTTAACGTGTGTATATAAATATCCCCAAAATATTTATCCCCGATTTATGTCACGTATAATTAAAACATACACAAAGAGAATTCTCTTATGTTAGAATTTACTCTAAAAATCATAGTAGAATTTTATAAGATTCCTCTGATATTTATCATAATTTTTATTCTGTGTACATATTAATATTTTTATTGTGGTAAATATTCATAAGAGAAGCTATATAAAATTCTTCCAATGCCATATATTGTTCCACGATTACCATGATTTTCAGAATAAATTTTCTCTTATTGTTAAAATTTACTCTAAAAATCATAGTAGAATTTTATAAGAGTTCCTCCGATTAATATATTTATCACAGTTTTTATTCTATGTACATATTAATATTTTTATTGTGGTATAAATATTAATCAGAGAAACTATATAAAATTCTTCCAATACCATATATTGTTCCACGATTACCATGATTTTCAGGATAAATTCTAACAATAATAAGAAAGAATTCTGTAGGCTTTTAATGCCTAGAGATTACACGGCTATATAAATCGCGATTTTCCAAATACATTATAATGTCTTGGCTTTCCCACAAGCTTTCCTCGCCAATTCTCGGATTCCGAATTCCTCGACTTTCTCGATTCCGATCGATCGTAGGCGAAGTCTGGCCGCGTGCGGGGCCCGTCGATCGGTTCTCCCGGTCGTTGCACTCTCGACACGCCGCTCGTCGCGATCGACAAAGTTCGCGCACCGATTACTAATGGACTGCTCACGCTTCGTTTATTCGTGGACATTCCTCCACAAGGAATCGATATATCGTATTCGAGGAATCGATCGATCGATCGCGAGCGAGCGATGGATTTTGTATCTCATTTTCGTTAAAAGAACCGAATTTTATAGAATTTTAACCCTTCTATCGGGTACCCGGATATCCGGCAGACGAGTTAAAATTCTTGTGTATTCGGAAACCTCTTAAAATATCACGAGAAAGAATATTCGATGCTCAACAGCTGATATAAAGTAAATCATCGCAGGTATTCATATTCATTGAAAAGATAAAAAATTATGACAAAAAGATTAAGCTCATTATTCAATCTCACGATTATAATTTTTTTTCGACGGTGAAAAAAAGAAAATTATAAAGAGATACTGACAAAGCGCGACGTGAGAAAATCGTCGATAATTTGTTGCCGCAATATATAATCCTTATATGATTATGCGGCTTCTAATAAGAAGCTGCGAAATCACTCGAGACGCTCGACAGAGCAATCGGCCGCGAAATATCGGAAAATACGATTTAAGTCACGAGCGGGACAGACAGCGCAGACTCTCCTTCGGAACGAGTCTCGCGAGAACACAAAAGAACTTTCACTTCTTCGCTTAAAACGAGAAATATCCGCGTTCGCGATATCTCTCTGTGATTCAGCTTCACTACTTCCGCGTTGTATCTTCCCGAATCCTGGCAATGTTTTTTTTTCCTTTCTCTCTCAATTCAATTTTGCGAAAAACAAGTGTTCGTGCAGGCACCCTTAACATATTTGTGTCAATTTTTTTTTTTTTTTCAATTAGATATTACACAGGAATTCGTTTAGATTTCATTATTATATGATACTAGCTATTTTATAAATACATGTAAGCAAATTTTTATCTTTTATATAGTATCAATAGTCACTTTTTAAGCGTATTAAATTTCTTTAGATCCCTTCGCGTCCTTGACTTCTCTCGCAATCTTTTCATCTAAAGACTTCCATGACTTTTTCCTCGAATTCCATCTCGACGATACCTATCGAAGTAATCGTCACCGAACTGCCGAACACGCATTTTCGCTTCAATAAATTCACCGTAGAAGAGGAGCAAGGGGGTTAACCTTTCGTCTCTTGTTAACCCCGTGGTGAGAGGGGTGCGTTAAGAATAGTCTGCAGGCAGTCGAGCTCTTTCGGGGGTGCAGCGTTTTATACAGGGGTTGCTGATGGTCGCGCGAAGAGAGAGAGAGAGAGACAGAGACAGAAAGCAGCTGGGCCCTGACAGCTGCACCGAGGTCGGTGCTTTAACCAACAGCTGCGGTACAGTTCATTCCGGCTTCTCTATATATTCCCCATTCCTTTTCTCCCTGTCCCCCCTTAGTTTTTGTTATATTTCGTCGAACCTATCTTTTCCTCTTTTTCGTCATTTTCACCTACCTGGTCTTCAGTTTTCTTCGGTCGTCTACTTATCGACTTATATTATACATCCTTCGTGCCCGATTATATTCAATTCAGTACATAATCACGCTGAAATTTTTCCGGATATATATATATAACACAAAAGAAGGTATAGAATAGCAGTGTTAACTTCTGAGGGTGCGCCGCTTTTCCGAGAGTATCTTTTGTTTAACAATGGTGACGATTTCGTCAAAAGAGATTCTTACCTTAACCAATTCTTACCTTAAGAATCTCTCCTTAAGAATTAGGCAAGTCAAAAGATTCCGAAGAATTCTGGATATTTTAAATTTTGTATCTTGTTCGATTCGTTGTGGATTTGACTAAATCCAATAACTTACATTTGTCACGATAATTTGTAGTTAAAATAGCTTTGTCACAATAATAGTTATAAAGTAGCAAGTATACTGAAAAATAACAGCGACAATTTATTCTGGCAATATAATGCAGAGAGAAAGAGAGAGAAAGAAGAGGAGCAGGTGTATAAAACAGTATCTCGTTTTTGTTTAAATTATTCTTTATACCTCGAATCATTTCGGCTGAGGGAAATCGGTTGGTCGGGGATAGAAAATCAATAAGTACGTTACAGAACCGGAACAGTGTCATGGGGTGCCACACCATGTCTGTAGTCTTTCTCGCTCTTTCTGTCGTACTTCTCTGTTAATTTATCTGCTCGGTTAGGTATTTAAACGAAACCGATTAACTTCACAAAAGAGTCTCATTGTCAGTAGTTTTTCTGTAAACCTGTCATTTGGGTCATTGAAAATCATCTAGCCTCCATATTTCATCTACCTTGCGATATATTTCATTTGTCTTTTTTTGACATTTTATAGTTTTTTTTTTTTAAGTTCTCGCTGTTCGGATAATCGCTTGTGAGATAGATGTTTTTTTCACGTTTAAATTAAGATGCGAGAGAATTCTTTTCAAGCAAATTCGCATTAAATGTCAAACTGACGTACGCTTGCTACCTGAGTTTCTTTATGCAGAATAGATTAAAAAAAACATTTCGAGCAAAGCTTAAAATAAACCTTCGGTTTTGTTTCGATACGCGTGCGCATAAATTCTCCAGAATATTTCATTTCATCAACAATTGATCAACAACTATATTGACAAAATAATAATGACTACTAATATGCAGCAGAATATATAGTCGTCAGATGTTTAATTAGGTCGATTTGATTACACGAAAATGAAAACAAGCTAGTTAATATTTCAAACAAGCTAATTAAGGCTCTCAATCAGCGGTGAAATTTACAATCGTTAAAATGGAAATTGTTATTATATTTCATTTTCAGCATCTCGTTACCAGTCTGACCTAATAACTAATAAAAGTTTCAATCTCAAAATATTTTCATATCAATTCATTTAATCGAAGATTCGGAAAAACGTGTTATATAAAAATTTTAAAAATCGATATTTCTTTATCGATTACACACTCGAGATTTGTCAAATATCGCGTATAGGACGAGAGGACATCTTCTTCCTCGGAACGACTTCGAAAGTCCCTCCTCCCCCTTTCCTCCCGCAGGAGAGGAAGGGTCGAAACATCCGGGTGAATTTATAGCCCACCTCGCGTCGGTTTTATCTCGAAAAATTCGCGCGGTTGCGAATCGGCCGTAAATAATCCTCGAGGGGGCAAGATTTGTCGCGGCTTACGAGATTTGTTTAGTCACTCTTTCCCTCTCGCTTGCTTGCTCCTCCCTCGCTTCGAGAAAAGAAGAAGAAGAAGAGGACCCTTTTCTTCTTCTCCGCCAACAACGGTACGAAGAAAAGGTAGAGGCAGGAGAGGAATCTCTCGTCGGTGGAATCTCTGCGATTCGGTCGTTCGTCGACGAGGGAAGGGCGGACGAAAGAATCGGGAGAAGAGACCCTGACGAGGGATCGAGGGGGTCCGCCGTATCTCTCTCTCTCTCTCTCTCATTCTCCGCTCTATAAATACCATACTCCTTAGCGGCGATGCCGCATCGCACCAAAGTCCAGCCGTGGCGAGTCGGGCCGTTGCGCTCGATGCCAAGGTCACGGGGCCCTGTGCAGAAATCCGCGTCGGAAACGTTGAACCCCGTCCTCTCAACCCCTTCATTCACCGGGATCTTTCTCTTTCCCCGAGATCATCCTTACTTTTACGAGCCAGACTGGCCAAGTTTAATTGCACCCCGTGTAATAGGTGCTAACGCGTTACGGTTACGATAGTAAGCTTTTTCCGCGCGAAATTTTGCTTCGTGTTTCTTTTAATATACGATGAATATAGTTGCCCGGAAACACATGGGCGTTCCCAATATTTTTTCCAGGAGGGGGCATAATTAAAATATTGTTTCTTAATTTTTTTATATTAAATATATACAAATAAATTTCCATGCCTGGAAAAACGTGAATCACAACGCGATTGGTACCCATTCATAAAACAGTAAAAAATGATAAATCCATTGACAAATAAATGAAGAAGGAATTCCACACGAGAGTCGTGGTTCGATTATCTCGATAAAGAATGAGACGAGGAAGAAATCGCTCGATTCCTCGCATGCTCGCACGTATTTCTTCGGCAGCGATAGATCGCGGAAATAATGAAATTTCGTCACGTGTCTCTTGTCGGGCCGCAAATAGATATATCCGAACTCTCTCGACGGTCGGCCGATAGTCATCGGTGATTTTCCCAACAGGGAAAACTGTCATCATCGATACGGTTTACACGAGCCGAGTGATAAAACGGTCGCACGTGGCATCGCTCTCGCGCGTTTTTAAGTGACCCGCATCCGGAGGGCAGTCACATGGCGAAGGGAAGAAAGGGTTCGTGTCATATGCGTCCCTTTGAACTTCGACCGTGTCGTGTTCCGTTCGCGGTTTTTACTCGTATACGATAAGGAAACGCGTACATACATCGTTACCAGGATACGTTAATCCCATTTCCTGTATTAGCGCGTTCCCGACATTAATTATTATTATCACCGGCACTTGCGGATAAAATAAATGGGTACTCTCGAGAAACTTATTAACTTGAGAAACAGTCTCGAAAGTAAAAGCAGAAACGTGGAAATGTAAAGATAAAGAAGTGTCGATGTAAGAGAGTAGAATATAAACAGTGTTGTTTTCTTCGACATTTATTCTACATCTATTATTGCCACATGTCTGATATAACATGAAAACAATAAAATGAAATATTTTATGATAACTCTTGACATTTATCACATCATATTGGATTATAATAAAATAGAATAAATGAACCAAAAAAAATCAAATACAATTTTTAATAGCGAGAAATCAGTTCAACGTTTACGTGATGCTTCCGAAATAATTGCAGCATAGAGATGTCGAGGAGAAGAAAAAATGATTTTGCATCCCTAAATACATAACAAAAACAATAAAATGAAATACTTCATGATAACTCTTGACATTTATCACATCATATTGGATTATAATAAAATAGAATAAATGAACCAAAAAAAATCAAATACAATTTTTAATAGCGAGAAATCAGTTCAACGTTTGCGTGATGCTTCCGAAATAATTGCAGCATAGAGATGTCGAGGAGAAGAAAATAAAAAAGAAATGATTTTGCATCCCTAAATACATACATACGCGTATAAGGGCAGACGGGCCACTACCGTACGCCTGGTATGCATGCATCGGGCCTTTCATATTATACATACATGCACGTACCGTATGCACCGCTCGCTCGTGCAGTCGTGAGGGACGCGATCGACCTCTCGCCGAGAGTTGCCTTAACCTCTTGGATTTTTTCTTACTCATTTCAGCCCGCTGCCTGCCCGGATGCGACGAACAGCACGGACATTGCAGTCGACCCAACGAATGCACGTGAGTATATATAGATATATATTACTCGTGCGCACGCACGTGTGTATATGCGCGCGCGCGCGCGTGTGTGTGTGTGTGTGTGTGTGCGTGCACGTTGCGCTGCCTCTCGTCGACAATCGCCGACTAAATTCCTGGGCCCCCTCCCCCTCCCCCCCGACACGGTGCATCCACTCTTCTGTATGCACCGGCGCGGCGTATGCATGTAAGCGCGATAATAATTACGCGCATACCTATCGTAAATTATCGTTCGACGCGGTTTCCGAAAAAAGCGCACGGGTCGGCTATAGCAGCCACAGCAGATCCACGTCACGATGTTAGTAACGCGCGTAGTTACGCAGAGAATATACGTATTCCGCGATTATTCTATTCTCCAGAATTATAAGTCGGAATCTTTTTTTTTTTTTTTTTTTTTTTTTTTTTTTTTTTTTTTTTTTTTACCGGCACATATCCTCTCCCGAAGGAGAAATTACGAAATTTTTTGATAATATATCTTGATAAATTATTTAGATTGCTTACAATTTAATTATGCTAATAGTTCGATTCCAAGCAGTTCAAGTTTGAAAGAATAAATTTTGGTAGTAAAAAATTTTTTTATGTCCTTCATTTGCGAGTAATGAAATAACGACGATAAATAACCTGGAGTTTATAGCGATTGACAGTTATTTATTATTCTCTCAGCAGCAAACGAAACTAACCGTATTGTTCATTACAATATACATTTTTTTTATGTATTCCTAAAGTTTCGTAATTTTACGGCTTGGGAGACTTTTTTTTTCTCTCTCTTTCTTTTTGCGAGGAAACGAGCTGCCGGTAGTTGACCGGTTTAACGAATTGATTTACCTTTAAAATGCTATAAATCTGTTATGCATTTTATGCCGACGAGATGGAGGCATGCACGGAATAAGTATTAAAATCCTGTTTTGTTAAATAATCTCGAGTCAACAATTTTAATTAATAATTCCACGCCGGGATGCCGGGTATTAATGTTATAATGTTACGGCTAATTTAAAAGCCAGAGATACGCGTCGCGCATCTCCTTACGTATACGTAAAGCAAAGGAAAGGGTCCTGTTACGGCGCCGCGCATTTCGCGACGGCATTATACAATGCGCCCACCCGTTGTATATATTATCTTACGCATATTTTCGTAACGCTTTTACGAGTGAACCGCGCGCGGACGGAAAAAGGAAGGACGGAGCGGAATTCGAAGCTTCCCGGCTCTCTTTCCCGTTTTAACGAGGCAGTTTCCGAGGTGCCAATCGTTCCTGCCCTTTCTTCCTCCTCGGGAGTTGCACTCTCTCCCCCTTTTTTCTTTCGCCGCCGTCTTTGTCTCTCGCCGCCCAACATGCCGTTGAACCTTCCGATTTAATTCGCCGTTTGGCAAAATTCCGGGATCCCCGAGACGTCGAAAGAGTTTCCGCACTCGCCTTGGAAATCCTCCGCATAACTCTGGTCTAATCTTTTTCCCTTTCTTATTCGCCAGATTATATATATATATTCCGTTTATACGTAGCAATTTTTTAAACATTTTTCATTTTTCCTTTTTGTCAATTTTGTGAAGAAAAATTGAAGAGATCCGTGTAATTAATTTTTGCAAAAAAATTGATTTTTATAAAAAATAATATTCCGTTTATAGATGGCAATTTTTGAAACATTTTTAATTTTTTCTTCTTGTCAAATTTGTTAATAGAAAAATTAAAGAGATCCGTGTAATTGATTTTTTTGCAAAAATTAATTTTTATAAAAAATAATGATGACACTTGATATCAAGTAGTTAAAGCTTATTTCTGCCGCGAGAACGCAATTGCGGAATGCAGAATGCAGTTGAATAATACGATGATGACTCGTCTTATTCCCGGATGCATCGTGAATGTCACGCGTTTCTCGGCCTCTCGGAATCTCTGCCTGGACAAGCGTTAACCCGAAGGTTTGAAGTTAACTCGATCATCTAATTATTCTACGACCGGGGTTAATTGTCCCGTTAGTCGCAGCCACGAGTTTGTCAGTCGCGTCTCGTCCATGGTCGGGTTTCGTTCTCGCGTTCTTTTTTTTTTTTTTTTTCAATTACTCAGTCTCTTGCGTTTTTATAAATTTTTAAAAGAAAAAGTACCAGGATTGGGTAATAACTAGTTAATTAGTTAATAACTTTCAACTTAGCTTAATTAATTTAAAATGTATTCATTCATTTTTAACTTCTAAGTTATAAACGTATTATTTTTCAAGTAAAGTATTATATTAACTTTTATATTCATTTGTCATCAATTGTAATTACTAAAAAATATATTTCTAAAATTAACTTTTGATTTTAACTTTTCAGTTAATTTAATCTTAACTTAACTTTAACTCAACTTAGTTTTAAAAAATAATTAGCCTACCCAACCCTGAAAAATACATATTTAATTTATTTAGATATTTCAATCCTTTTATATAAATTCTCACGATTTTTAATCTTGAATTTTTTAGAATAATAATTTGATTAAATTTTTTCTTTACGATTTAATATTAAATATCTTTCCCGTTCTCCATGTATAATGTTCGGCTCTCGAGCAGCCGTTCTCTCGTAGTTGAAGTCGTTGATGCCGTCGCGTCATCGCGAGGTTCGAAGGTGCGCGATTGTGAAAGGAGGAACGACTGTGGATTTTCCCGCACCGCGAAATGTGCCTCGTCGCCGCGAGTTCTAGGCATATGAATATCGAGAGTTTCTCGCGGCGAACGCGCTATGCGAACTATGCGTGCCTATGATGATGCATCCGTGAATGCCGAATGACTCAATCCGGGAATGCAACGCGAGATTCGCGGAACCACACGATTTTAGTTTCCTCGGTTCTTCATATGAAACATCAATCGTTAAATTCATTTCATTATCATTACGTTACGGATATTTTCCCGCATTCTCGGCGAGAAGTAAATAAGAAGTAAACTGCAGCAAAATTCCGAAAATAAATTAGAAGACATATTTCGTATAAATCATTGATCCCATCTTAAATATTTTCTAGGGGAATATAATTGACGAATAAAAATCAGAAAAAAATTATCATTATTGTTTCTTCTTTCGACATATAATTTTGTTCAATAAATAAATTTTCTCGCAACTGCTATAGTTTTCGAATTAATTATACAAGGTATAGTAATTATTACCGGACCATCCTCTAAATCATCGTTTTGACACAGATACATGCGTAGCCTCTTCGATGCTCTCGAAAGCCGATGAATAAAAGTTTCATTACACCGAGGGGAGGGGGGTTGTAACGGAATTTGATCGACGTGTTAACCTTGATCGCACTCCAACACGTGTACATACAGGACAATAGCTAACGCCGCACGCCACCTCGATCGATAGATAATTACGTAGATTGCGGGAACGGAATTACGATACGCTCGTTTTCAGTCGCAAGGCGTATATTCGCGGCATGATATACTCGGAAAGGACGATAACGATCTCTTTTTTTTTTTTTTGAAGGCGATAGGTCTCATGAAATATCGTGGGCTCCCGCGAACGAATCACGGCCATCGTCGGGGTCTCTCTTTCCCATTGAAATTTCGGAGTCGTGCGTGCGTGCGGTGGCCGCGAATACCGATGACGGTGCAACGACGATGATACACGTCTCCTTGGTGCGAGAAAGATCGACCGATATCAATTCCCGTGAAAAGGAAAGCAAAGGGAGATGAGACCGATGAAATTTTTATACCGAATTTTTACTCGATCACCCTTGTCTGAAAACGATAATATAACGTCGAATCTTCACGGATCTCTCTTGATATCGTTTCGGCATCCCGTTTAAATCCCGGCCGCGTAATAACACAAAGGTCAAAGAACGCACTCGCGTTCGGAAGAGAGAGAGAGAAAGATCGTCCTCTCTCGTCCAACGAGAAAGACATTTAACCGAGCCCTCGGAATTTCCATAACGGCCGGACCAGCCGCTGTGCATCCCTTCCTCTTTTTCTCTCCTCCCTCGGTTCGTCGGTGCATGACCTATCTCTCCCAGCGGTAATTATGGCATAGTCGCGATTCCGTTTCTGTCGGCCTGATGCCGATCAAAAGTTGAATGCGCGCAATCACGTGGATGGTCGCTCGGTTCTCCAGGGGAGATATTCTACCAGCTACTAGATGGATACCTCCTTCATCTTCGTCTCTTTGAAGGAGCGGCACAGTTCGACGTTCAACCCCCTTCGTTCGCGTTTTTTATCGCGGCTCACTCCATCTCTCTTCCTCTTCGTACACATAGGGTTTTAATAGTATAGTCATGCGACGGCTGCAGTTTCTTCTCCCTCCGCCGTCTCGTCTTCTTGGTTCATCTTTCTCTACCTGACTCTCCATCCTCTTACCGTCTCTCTCTCCCGAGTGCGATAGAGGGAAAGGGAGAGAAGAAGCCGTAGCGACGTGCACGAGTAGTAGAGTGGGCATCGCGCGAGCGCGCGCACTCGCACACACACGTAGAGGAGCGTAACCTTTCCTTGACCCGCATACTGAACGGCTGTGCCGAGGCTCGAACCGTGGGAACACACTACTCGACAACTCATTCCCCACCTCTCGGCCGGAGAATTCTATCTCCTTCTCCTCTCCCGGTCTTTTCTTCCCCTCTCCTCGCGTCGTCGGTCCCGCGTCTTCTGTCTCTCTCTCTTTCTCGCATCCCGGGCCCCTTCCCTCATCCCTTGGCGGCTGGTTCTTCCCGCTTATGCCACCTTGGGTCCCCTGCGCTCGCGGTGAAGCTGTTTCTCTGTAATTGTATGTATGTGTACGTGGCGCACACATATAACATCCTCTTTTCATTCCATCTTCCTTCTCTCTTTCGCCATCTCTATCTCCTTCTTCTTCGTTCCTCGTGAAGCATAACCCCCGCATGTAATGGCCGATATCCTCCTCGTCTCCTGGCACGTCACCCTCTTCATTCTTCCTTCTTGATTTCTTTCTCTCTCTCTTCCTTTTTATCCACCTTTAAGATAAGATCCCTCTGTCGCTAACACGTTGCTCTTCCTCTCTCTCTATCTATCTCTCCGCATGCGAATCTTTTCTTTCTTCGGTGTCGAGAAGTCTCTCCTGTCCCCGCTTGTCTTCCTGTCGTGTGTGTATCCCTTCTTTCCTCCTGCGAGAGTCTAGCTCGCGCACCGGGATTTCGTCGACCCTCTTCTTCGTTTGCCCGTGACTGCTTTCCGTCCATCATCGGTGAAACTCTCTCCTCGTGAGCGACAGAGGGAGTGTAGAGAGAAAAGTAGGAACTCTTTCGAGTATATTGAAGTACGAAGCTTCAACTTCCGTCACAACAACGTGACGCGGCTAATAATCTAACCTAATTCAATAATACCAGCGCCGTGGATCATCCATCCGCGCGCGACAACTTCAGTAAATCCCTATCAGGCTCGATGTTATATGTACAGTTAGGAGAAGAGAGATTTATCTTCGTGAGAGGATGATTCAGCCTATTCGCGGAAACGTGAACATACCTCCATCGTATCCATTCACCCTCCTTTGATTGTAATAGATACGATACGCGTCAGGTTTTTGATCGATTCCTCATTCCCTTTATGCGTAAGCGAGCATCCGAGCGTTACTAAGGAGCCACGTCCTGTTGCGTTCTGTTGCAGATGCCACAACGGCTGGAAGGGTCCGCGGTGCAATCAGTGCGTCCGATACCCGGGTTGCCTTCACGGTAGCTGCCAAAAACCCTGGGAGTGCGCGTGCGACGAGGGTTGGGGCGGATTGTTCTGCAACCAGGACCTCAACTATTGCACGAATCATAAGCCGTGCATGAACGGCGGCACCTGCTTCAACACCGGCCAGGGCCTGTACACCTGCTCGTGCCCGTCAGGTTTCACCGGCACCGAGTGCCAGACGCCGCTCTTCGATTGTAACTCGAAGCCCTGCCTGAACGGCGGTACCTGCTCGATGCTGGAGTCGTCCGGCTACGTCAACGGGAGCGAATCGTCATCGTCGAAACAACATCATCGTAACTACCGTTGCACCTGTCCGCCCGGTTGGCGCGGTCGACACTGCGAAACGACGACAAAATCCTGCCGGGACTCGCCCTGTCGGCACGGTGCCACCTGCGAGGACGACTCTGTACGCGGCTACGTGTGCCATTGCCCGCCCGGTTACAACGGCGCCGACTGCGAATCGGAGGTGGACGACTGCAAGCCGAATCCCTGCGCGAACAACGGCACCTGCACGGATTACATCGAAGGTTATCGGTGTACCTGCCCGATCGGCTTCGACGGCCAGCGCTGCGAGAACAACGTGGACGACTGTCAAGGCGATCCCTGTCTGAACGGTGGAACCTGCATGGATCAAGTCAACAGCTTCCGCTGCCAGTGCGTGCCGGGTTACGTCGGCCGGCTCTGCCAGGATAAGGTGGACTACTGCCTGGCGAAACCGTGCGCGAACGGTGGCAGATGTATCTCCGGGATCAACGATTATCGGTGCATGTGCAAGCCCGGTTTCACTGGCAAGGACTGCAGCGTGGACGTGGACGAGTGTCGGAGCGCGCCGTGTCGAAACGGCGGCACGTGCCGGAATCGCGTCAACGGTTTCCTATGCGAATGCTCGAACGGCTGGCACGGCGAGACCTGCGGCGAGGAAGCCGGCGCCGCACCGGCGGCTCTACCATCGGCGTCTACGATCTCGAAAGCGCCACCGGAAGAACCGTCCTCGAGACACTGGCCCGGTAATTTATCCAAACACGTTGCCTCCAGAGAGGTCGGCCTGTCTACGGAACACGTGGTGATAATCGCGACCGTCTCCACGGTGGTGCCGGCCTTCGTGCTGTTCGCTGCGGTCACGGTGATGTGCATGAAGAGACGACAGAAGCGAGAACAGGCAAAGGCCGACGAAGAGGCCAGACTGCAAAACGAGAGAAACGCTGTACACAGCAGTATGAGCAAACGTAGCGCCAGCACCATCGGCGTCGGTGGAGGCGGTGGTCTCGGAAGCGGCAGCGGTCTCGGCAGCGTTGGAGGTCTTCTCGGCGGAGCCGGAAGCGGTCTGATGGGTACGGGCAGCGCTAGTGTCTGCGCCCTAGGGACAGGCGACGCGCACATGATCAAAAACACCTGGACGGCGAGCAAGAGCGTGAACAACGTTGCGTCAGCGGCGCGACAGGACGACCTGGACTCGTCGTTTCAGACCGACGTGACGCACGATAGCTCGTGCTCGGGTTACAAACCGGAACCGGTGCTGCAGGACGGCCGAACGACGAGGACGACGAAGCAGCTGAACACCGAGGCGGCTGCCCATCGGGCGTCGGCCCATCTCTACCAGAAGGAGAAGGACTGTCTCGGCCTGGGCCTCGGCATCGGGGTCCTAGAAAGCGCCAAGAGATCGTCCGTATTCGTCGGCACCGCGACAGACAACTGTTGCAGCACCGCGGAAGCCGCGCTCATGAAGAGGCCGACGACGATATCGGAAACCATCACCGTCGTCGCTGGTGGTACCGGTCCACCGGGAAGCGGCGGAGGTGGCGGTGGTAGTAGTGGTGTCACGGACAATAGCAGTTGCGGAGTGTACGTGATAGACGATCATTACAGGCACGACGCCGCGCTGGCGGCGACGCTCGCGACAGAGGTGTAGTAGTGTCCTCCGGACGTATATAGTAGACTCCATTTAGAGCGATAGACGAGGAAGAAAGTGGAAGAGTGAGTGCGAGATGGATTTATAGAGCCAGTGCGTGCGAATTGACCGGACCATCCTGTTCGATTTCCCGTTCGATTCTTTCGGACGGCGCCGTCGCGACGCCTTCGTCTCGCGGATGCCAGTGAACGTTTGTTTTTCTTTCTTTTTTTCTTCTTTTCATTTTTTATCACAATTCTCCTCTGCGAGCGAAAAGTACGTTGTGCATCCGTGATCAGCGCCGCCGGTGACGAGAGTAGGGTGTTTCGTCCCGTTACTGCGCCGGGACAAAAAGGACGATAGACTGGCGACAAAGACATTCGACCGAGAGGAAGAGAGAGAGAGAGATATGAAGAGGAATTAACGCGATGCTGTGGGGGTCGGCTGGTTCCCTCGATGGCCGCCGACCCGATTTCTTAGGTATTAATATTATATCGTGCTCGAACGCGAAACTCTGTACAGAACTAATTTATTATTATTGTTATTTACTTATATTGTATTATCGCGATTGCTATTAATTAATATTATTATTATTAATATTATTTCAACTCGCGCGCGTATCGCATTGTCATTGTTCCCGATATTAGTTTTTCTTTTCTTTTTCTTTTTTTTTTTTTCAAAATTGCGTGACCGAGCTGCTCTCTCAGCTGCCGATCAGAGCGAGATTGAGTGAGATGAGAAAAAAAGTGTATGTGTCTGTGTGCGAAAGAGAGAGCATGTGCATTTGTGTTGTTCGCGTGTATACGTAGTTGCGAACGAGAGAGTTCAACTGATCAGCATCTTCGAACAATGTCGTTTCTTCGAGATTAATGTTTTGCGTCAATGTTTCCCTTATTTTTTTTCTTTTTTTCCTTACATACTATCTATATATACTTATATAGTTGCATTCCTTTTTCTCGTATAGAGGACCGTGGTTCGGCGCGAATTAAAATAAGTTTCCGGATTTTAGGACAGGGACGACGAGGTCGACGATGTCGACGAAAAATTGGCGAGAAAAGACAAATCACGTGGAACAGGAAACGTTCGCTCGACTCTTTGGGTTTCTCGGTTTCGACAACCCCAAGGTGTCGAGTCACTTTGAACATCTGTTTTTCACGGTTTTCTTCAACTTTAGCACGAAAGACGATCCTTAAATCCGGAAATTGTCACTTCAATCGCGCCGATCGACGAGGTGATTTCACAACTTCTTCCATTAAATGCGCTTATAACAAAAGAGAAAGAGAGAGAGAGACAAAACGAAACATCAAAATAATATCAAAAATCCTACGGAGGAGAAAGCCCGCGTGTCCTCTTCGGTATATTTTTGTCGAATTTTTGTTACATACGAACGATCAATTTGTCCATTTTTAGAAGAAAAAAAAAATAGAAATTCCGAAGAAATCGCGCGCATTTTCCTCGAGCAACGTAATCTATTTCTTACGCAAAGTATCCTCCGGCCATTCTCATACATAGACACGACACTCGATGAAAATATTCGCGCTACGTACGGCTGAGCGAACACAAAACGAGAGTAGACGTGTGTATAAATTATGCAAATATAGATTATATATATATATATATAAATAAAAAATATATATACGTAAAAAATGAACACAGTGAGAGAAATAAAGAGCCGACGTCGTCGTCGACGATGCGGTTCGTTTCAAAGCGATTCGGCGCCGAAATCAGCGAGGGGCGATTTGAAAGGAAACCGAAGGTGGGCGAAAGAGGATTCTTGACCATCGTCGCGCGAAGGAACATCGGATCGGCCGATCTTTTTTTTCTCACCCGTCTTTGATCTCGGTTGCGACCCATTCTTTTCCGGACGACGCGAACACTTTGTCGAGAGAGAGGATCTTCGTCTCGAGAACCGGGCGTCTGAAAAATTAGGATCTCTTTAGAAAGAGGAGGCGTCCTAATTTTCACAAATGTCCTTTTCGGAGTCCGTCTCTCTACCATGTTGTTTCGCGTCTCCTTCCGACTAATATATCTATTTCTGGCAAGTGTGAAGTGAGGAATCGGTCGAACCGAGATCTCGAAGTTATAATTAATTAGGATTTCGCGAATTCGCCCGTCTCCCTCTCGTGATTGGAATGGACGCATTCGCGAGAAATCGAAGTTTGCGTGTCGATTCTCGCGCGAGAAGGGAAGGAAAAACTCTCTCCTCCTACCTGGACATCACGATTCGACTTTCGTGAAAATTTGTTCACGTCGGCCGCGCTTTTATTTCGGCGACACGGCTCGCTGACTTCGCGCGCGAACGCGCGATAGATAAGGTGACGATTGTATTTTGCGTGTTGTTGCGTCGCACGGTTGCGAGAAGATGATAATTAATTATTTATTTATGACTGCTGATTGCGATTTTACACGGCGTAAACAAAAAAAAATGTGAACGAATAAGCGGCGATTTGCGCGCCGACGATAATCGACGATGACGATATTAACGCGTTAGAAACGCGTGTGCGCGATGTATGATAAAAAAAAAGAGAGTGAGAGCGAATGAGAGAGAGAGATTGAGAGTTGTAGCGAACAAAGATTCGATGATGTTCCTGTTATGAGATAATGATAATTAAATAAACGAAATGCAAGTATCGACTAAGTCAGGCTTATTTTCGGGTCTCTTTCGCGCGCGGACGTGCAAAAAAAAATTAATAAATAAAAAAACATTCGGTTTTCACTTTCCCTCCCCCTCCTCCCACCCCTCTTTGCCGTCCAGCGTAGCAGACTCCGGATTAATGAGAAGCGCGTGCGTATAAGTGCGAGATTATGTTATTAATACGAATTGCGATTTTGTGTAATAAAAGAGAGCTGTTGTCATTTTCTGTACTTACAACTTCTTCGGACGATTCGATACGTCTCGCTCTATCGTTTGACAGGTCTCTATTATTCTCCCCTCCGCGATATCATCCCCCTTCGTCTATTATATTTTCCTTCCTTGACCTTTTCTTCCATCCTCCCGCCTCATCTTGTCGTTTCGCGTTAATTTTTCCCATACCACTTTTTTATTTCTATCAGCGATATATACGTTTCTCTCCGAGAAAAATATCGTCTCCTTCCTCCTACTTTTCCCCGATCCCTTTGAATAGTGGCCTTTCGTTCGCGACGAGGCATATCGACGAAGATTGCGAAGACTTTCCCCAGGCGCGTACTTCTATCCCACCCCTTCGTTTTTTTTTTTTTTTGTATAAAACAAGAAGATAATACAGCGTATACATACACAGACCCACACGCAGCACATCTGTATATTTGTAGTAGAAGTATACAATTGCGATTATTATTAATATTATTAATATTATTATTATGTGAAACGTGTAAATATAGATGAATTGTCAATATAACGATGTCACGCAAACGACAGGACGATTAATAATGATACATTAAAAAATGAATTCAGTGTTGTCTTCTTTCTCCCTCAATCATACAAAAATAGTTAATCGTATATATATAAATAGTATAGTAGAATTAATAATATATATGTATATAACAAGAAGAATTGATAAGATTTGCTCCTCTTTTTCAATTTTTTTCGCTCGATAAAATAAAAAAAAATAAATTTTCTTCGATTTAGTATCTTGAAAGTATTCTCTTGATTACAGCAACGCTAAGAGAGCGATCTCAATTTGGAATAAATCATCATCATCAGGTACCGCATTGGTACGACATAACTATGAAACGTTTGTCCTCGCGAAAGCTTGTGGGAAGCTCGGCGGAAAAAATCCGGTCGCGAGGAGGAAGTCTCATCGTCGCGGAACAGCGCGAAAAAGCGAGATAACGCGGCACGATAAGCCGGTTACGACTTTATGTAACTACGCGAGAACCGTTCGCACATACCGGATTCGAGGAGGAGGTTCGTCATCTCTTCGAGATGCGAGGTCGCTGGAGCTCGCGATGCTGCTATATTCGCACGGAATCTCGGAAAATGTAACTAAATTAGGAAGAAAATTATTTATTCGCGACAGGCGGGGCTTTTCTTCAGAGTTGGACAAAAAAATTCGTACTCTTTTTCTTATCAATATTATATAATTATAAAATATTACACAGAGAGAATTTCCTCTTAAAATTTATCCTGAAAATCATGGTAATCGTGGGACAATACGATAAGTATTAGGAGAATTTTATATAAGAGTTTCTTTGATTAAATATTTATCGCAATAAAAAATATTAAAATATCTACCATAATAAGATATGCTACATAATGTACGTAGTAAATTTTATTAAGAAAAAACTAAAGAATTTTATAAGAGATCTTTGATGAATATTCACCTCAATAAAAAATATTAATATATGTACATAGTAAATTTTACTATATATACAGGTATATGTATATATATTGTATAATATTTTTTATTGAGGTTTTCATCAGATCTCTTACAAAATATTTTATAAAATTCATCAATATTAAATTATTAATTAAATTTTAATTTTTAACACCATGCAATTTTAAATTATAATATTGTACACGGAGAAAATTTCTCTTAGAATTTACCTCGAAAATCATTGTAATCGTGGGGCAATATGGTATTGAAAAAACTTTATACAAAATTTTATAAGAGATCTGATTAATATTTTTTATTGAAGTAAATATTAATCAGATATCTCTTATAAAATCTCTGTATAATATTATGCTTTAATATTGGTATAAAAAATTAAAATTAATTATTAATTTAATATTTATCGATGAAATTAAACGCTGTCAAGGATTACTTATTTTATGTTTGATCAGAACTCGAAGGATATAAGATCTCTCTTTTTCGAGAGAGATGAGATAGAACTATTCTATACAAATTTGATCGAAATTCTGAATAAAACCGCTTAGCTTCATAGAGATAACATTCATTGTTTGAAAGCGTGCGAAATACGCGATGATGAATACACGTTATGCGAGGGAAAGAGAAACTCGACGCGGTAAAGCTGGTTGTCACGCCCTTGTAATCTTAACAGCGCGGACTGTTGGTTTTCCTCCCGCGGCTCTCCTCTTTCTTATGTAAAAACACGCGACGCGCACTTTATGTTTGTTGTACCGCTGATCGCGATCGTCGCCTCGTTCGCTAATTGCGAATGTCAAAGCGCGTGCGAGAGTCTGAGTATATACGCGAGCGGGTATACCTGACTAACCCATTTGCAAGGATTTGCTCAGTTATTACCTCGTGCAATTATCTCTTTTGCGGTAACAGAAGAGCTGTCAGTGTTTCCCACAGTCAGCGGCTTCGGCCGCTCGGCGAATAAAGTCGGCAATTTCAGTCGTATTTTCATTCGAAATACGATTATGCGAAATGATGATTATTAATTACGTAAAAGGGGAATTATATTCGTTAGGGGAAAAAAGGAGAACGACGATTATAAAGTGTGTCGAATTTTTCTTGGTTTTCATATAATAATGCGAGAGTAATCATTTATTTTTTCGGCGAAATTGGGAAAGGACTTTCACAAAATTATTTACCCAAAATTTATATTAAAAATTGACGAGACTCACCGGTACGATGCTCAGCAATGCAATTGTAAACTCTGTAAAATATATAAATACATAGAAATTATATAATGAAATTTCAAATAATTGATATTTCGAAAAATAGATAAAATTATTTACATCGAGTTTAATAACAAAAATAGCAATAATAAATAATAAATAAATTATTTACCATGTAGTTGTTCCGCCAATTGCCCGATGCCATCCCGGGCCTCCTCCTCCTCTCGTAAAAGGTTCGAGACACTTGCACTTGCACTTGCACTCGCGTTACTTTTGTCGTTCGCGATAAGCGGCGATGCTCGGCTTTTAATTATCATAATTTTCGACGCGTTTCGGTAAAACGCGAAAATCGCGGGAGCTTATTCGCGCGCGAATAACATCGATGCTCCGCTTTGCGTCGTCGCTTGGTCTTTCAAGGTCACTTATCGGAGGGCCTCATCGAACGACGACGACTTCCCCGCGACGCACTCAGGAGTCGCTGATATCTCCAAATTGGTCACTAATACGCACTTCACTATATTTTCGTATATATTTCACTGAATATTCGACGGCAAAGAGATCGCACAGAAACTTCGCCGATTAATCATAATTTTGATTGTCGACCGTGATCGCGTACTTGTTTCGGAGGAACGAACGTCGAACACATCGAGATTCGCGGCCGATGAGATCGATTTCGCGCGTGCGATCGCGATCACGATGTCGAGACACGCGACACGATAGAATTTATATATCGTATAATTAACGGCGTGGATACTAATTACTCACACTCGCGTACTTTCGCGGAGCAGCGATGAACGCGCGAATGTTGACCATGAACAATGAGAAAGTGCACTAGAGGGCAGCAGCGTTTACAGATTTGTGTACGGAAATCGAGTCACCTAGGGCGACGCGCTCGATCGACCAATCACGGCGCAGCGATCCTCGGCCTCCGATTGGTCGGTCAAATTTCGCACTTCGCGGAGGATATTTTCGAACTTAATCTAGATTACTGCTAATTATCTAGTGGACTTTCTTTGTTTATGATCAACAATTCCCGCGTTAACGTCGCCGGTCCGTGAAGGTACGTGAGTGTGTGTGAGTATTAATTAGTGTCCTTAATTATTTATAAATCCGATCGCGTCGTGTGATGCGTGTTGTGGCCAATTCGGGAATATCGGCGAGTCATACTCCTGAGTATGTCGCCGAGGAAGTCGCCTTCGTTGTTCGATGAGGCTCTTCGGTGAATGACCTTGAGAAAAGCGGCGACGCCGGAGCATCGGTGTTTTACCGAAACGCGTCGAGAATTATGATAATTAAAACCCGAGCATCGCCGCTCGTCGCGAATGAGATAAAGTAACGCGAGTGCAAGTGCAAGTGTTTCGAAGCTTCTACGAGAGGAGGTTAAGGTGGAGGAGGAGGCCTGGGATGGCATCGGGCAACAACTACATGGTAAATAATTTATTTATTATTATTACTATTTTTACTATTAAATTTATAGTAGGTATAATAAATCATAATTTTATTTTTTTTCGAAATATTAATTATTTTTATTTTCTTCTATTTAATTTTCATGTATTTATATTTTACAGTTTACAACTTCGCTGATGTACATCGTATCGGTGAGTCTCATCAATTTTTACTTAAATTTTAGGTAATAAGTTTGAAAACATTTTCGGAAAGGATGGAGCTCTCCTTTAATATTACCATTTTCCGATTAATTAAAGTTGTAGCTATAATCTATGGATATTGAAAAATTGACAAATTAGATTGATAAATTAAATTTCTATCTCCAATTTTTAAATTTTTAAACATTTGGCAATTTCATCATCTGGTCCCCACATACGGATAAAATGACTTGTAATAGTATATAAAATAACGAAGGTTGAAAACGGATCTTTTTATGAATAAAACGAGTAATTTCGGTAAACCTTTTATACCATTTTACTAAATAATTTTTAATAAAATAAAAAGACAAAATATGATTTGAAAAATCAAATCAGAGACACAGAATAAAAAATGCAATTACATATAATCTAAAATAAAATAAAAGTGTAAAAAGAACGAAAAAAACTCATTATCTCGCTCGTACGTGACATTCGCCATTTTGCCCTTTAATTATATTATGTATAAATTAATTATCTATTACAAAAATATTGCAATGCGAGAAAATAAAAAATGTATATTGATACGTTTTTTTTATCGTACCATACGACGATTTCATAGAGAAAGTGAAAGTATTTACTGTAATTATGTAATTCCTTATGAAGCAATTCCACAAAATTACGCGTGCAGAATGTATTATCTCTCATTATTTTGTTATTTACTGTCGTTAGTAGATCAAAATAATTCGACATTCCAGCAGATATCATTCATTATCATCCTTAAAAGCCTCTAATGAATTGGGCATGGTCTTGTAATCTATTTAATTAGCTTACAATTAGAGAAATTAGCAATTTGCCATCTTTCTCGTATACGATTAAAAACACGATATATCATTATTAAGAGGATTATAAGGGGCGCCTGCTTTAGAAAGCTAAAAACAAGGTGTTTTTTGAGAATTTTTTATAATAACTGCATAAAACTTTTAGGTATTTATTGTTAAATATTTATAAACACAAAAAATTTCTTTTTAATTAAAAATATGGTCTGCATAGGTCGCTTTATAAAAATCTTGCAGCCTCACTATCGGAGTTGCAAATTTGCGAACATTCTCATATCTCCAAATCTCGTTTGAAATTAAAAAACCAAAAATGTTAATATTATTTATGAAATTATATCGTCGGTGAATCAATAAAATAAGATTAACGTTAAAGGCTCATCGATATGTAATTTCATAAGTAATAAGAAAATTTTTAGTATTTTTAATTTCAGACAAGATTTGGAGATATGAGAAAGCTCGTCAATTTGCAACTCCGACGACGAAAAAAGATTCCTCAAAGGCGA